TGCTGCTGCTGCAGGAAACCAATCAAGACTCTGCCCCTGCTGCTGCTTGCAAGGAATCCAGCTGCTGCTGCTGCAGGCCCCCACCAACCCGCAGCTACAGGAACAGCATGCCTCTCTACATTTCTCGCTTGAGGGAGCTGTTGCTGCGCCCCTCACTCTTGTTCTTCTTATCTTGCCGCGGTTTCCGCTGTCGTTGCGTTTGCTGCTTATCTTTTTGCTGCTTATCCTTAGCAGCCCCAGGGCTACTGGGTTTCACTTGGTCTGTGTACAGACGCGAGACCTCAAAAAGTCGTTGACTGAAGCTAGAGGCCTTCTCCGCTTCGACCTGCAGAGCAGCAACAAACCACATAGCAGCAGCAGCACTTCTTGAGGGTCCAGCTATACTAGAAGGCGTGGTGTGTCTACAACAAGCACAGGCTCAGGGTTTAGGGTTTCGGGTTTGTTCGCAGGGTTTAGGGTTTCAGGTTTGCAGGCGGCAGACCTGGATAGATATCTTCTTCTTTCCGTCCGTCGCACGGACGAGACAGACGGGAACAGCCTCAGGCTTCTCCTCACAGCCCTCCAGTTTACGCCGGCGTTTGGCTCCGCGGGAGCCGCCGACTTCGGGGAAAGCTGCGCAGGAAAAAAAGGTTCAGCAAAAGTGTTCGAATGAATTGGGGGGTTAGGGTTTCCACAAACCAAATACGATGTAAATACACCCCAGAAACCTCCCCCATCGGTGCTCCACACCGGAAAGCTGGTTGCTGCGCCGAAACCGTAAACACTAGCAAAGAATCCTACTTGTTGCATGAAGGCTAACACACATATAACGCTTTTCTCGTGCTGACTGTGCTCCTATGCTGCGAAACAAAAGCCAATGGAAAGAGGGTCTATGATTTGCATTCAACTTAGGTTGTAGTGTTTAGGGCTGAGGGTTTAGGGTTTAGGTACTCCGCTTGAAGGTGATCCACACAGATCCGCTGTTCTTGCTCCTGCTGTCCTCGTAGAGGCGCCGCAGCGCCTCAAGGAACTCGGCTTCTCCAAGTAGTCCCATCACCCTTATTGTTCCTCTATTTCATTTCCAGCTGCTGTTGCTGCTGCTGCTGCTGCTCGTTCTGACGGTGCTGTTGCAGCGGCGGCTGCGGCTGCCCGAGTTGTTGGTTTGTCTATCACAACCACCTCAGGACAATAAAATAAGGAAAAATAACAAAACAACCAGGATAACATGAAGACGAAAATAGGTAACAAAGCACGAAACGAATCGTGAGCATGCGCAGCAGCTGTGGCTTTTGCTTCGGCTGCTGCAGCCGCGGGGCGCAGTCTGCATATAAAGCCAAGCTGTCCATAATTGTGAATTTAAACTTAATCGAAATACTGTGTTTTTAATTCGATTGAATGTCCTTGGTTTTTATATGGACTATACACAAGAATGTGGCTGCAGTCGCTTCGAGGTTCCTCATAACCGCCTGCGTAAGCAACGGTGCGTGTAGGATAGTTGGCACGTGTATCTTTATTTGTGTAGAGGCTGGCTATGCAAGGCCAAGTGAGTGTTTTAACAATTGTCTATAGTCTCAGTTCATGCAGCTAGGCTGGTTGCTCCTGCTTGCGGGGTTGCCTTGCAGCAGGATTTACAACGTGTATGCAGCATGGGCTGCCTGCAGTTAGCACGGGAGCATTCACTGGGCCTTCGTAGGTTGCCTGCAAGCAATTACAAGTGCTCCACAAGTGTCTACAGAGGTGAAACATGTAGTAAAGGAGGCTTCGTCGAAACTTCTTTGTGCACACACGTGAGGCTGCCTGACCAACTGGGGCGAGGTGCTTTGTAACTCAACTCGAGTTAGGCATCCTCCTCCCCAGCAACCCCAGGCCCTGAGCTGAAAGCCCAGGATGTCTGGAGACAGGGGAGGGAGGTCACCTGCTGGGGGGGAACTCTTACCTCAACTTTTTGCGTTCATCGCAGCTCCCTGTAGTCATTGGGCAATGAAGGAGAATGTGCACGGCACTTGGTAGTGTAGCATAGTTCATCGGAACCAATGCGAGCAACGAATTCCACCCTTGCAGGGTGGAATCGCATAGCTGAAAAAAAGATGATTTTTGTCGTCTTGAACAAAATCGCCTTCAAATTTACGCCGTTTCCCTTATACGCGATGGATATTGATAATGATCTGCCCGCATGTGGGGGGGCCACGTACGTTCTGGAGCATCACCGAGCAGAAGAAAGCTCTTTATTGGTACTCATGGTGGGGGACAGTGCATTTTTGCCAAGAACCATTCAGGGGGAATGCAGTGCGACTCTGCCTACCAAACAGATGTGAGTGGGGCCGCGAGGGAGTTGAGGAGTCCCTTGGTTCCCTTGACTTGTGCTTTCGCCTTCAAAACGCACCCTAAGAAGTACAATGGCTGTCGACATCTCTAGTAGAAGGGGACGCGCGACGATGGTGGCCACATCTAAGCAGAAGTTCTGCTCTCACTGAACACTTCCTGTCCCTGCAAGGCCTCCGAGATGTGCTACGTTGCAGCTCTATTACCAGGTCTGCGAGGGAACTGACGATAAGATAACTGAGAAAGCGTAGGCAGAAGAAGCTGTAGATAGAGCTCTACATCGAGGAGAGTCATTCCTTGGTGAACAGAATTCTAATGGTCAACCCGGAGCTATTCATAGAAGGGCTGAGCCGCCGAAAGTGGCAATCGGTAACTGGCTAGGCCATGAGGGGTGAAAGCGTGTAACTCGCTGACTTGATCGAGTACCTTCGCAGAAAAAAGAGGGGAAACGCGACTTCCACAGTCCTAGCTGAAAGCTGGCTTGGAAATGGGCGGGAATTAGAGCCAATGAATATCGGGGATGTGACTGCCAAACCAGACCAGCGGGGGAGTAGAAGCAGTAATAAGCAGCTGCCAGCCAATTCAGCACCCAGAAGATCAGAAGTACGTACTAAGCGACGTATCCGTTTTCTTCGCAATAAACAAGGTCCCATAGTGCGAGATTGCAGACGCATGGAAAGAGCCAAAGAACTAGAGAAGCTAGAGTTCGAGCAGTTCCGCAAGCGAGGCAAACAAGATGAGCAGGGAAACGCTCGGACTCCCCCAAAGCGTGCGGCGCAGTGATGGGGCAGAAAGAGATGATAGCAGCACCCGCAGATTCAAGTCGACTCGGCTGTGTGCTTATACAAGCTCGTATTGATGCTCAGGCCTTGCTAGCTATCGTTGATACCGTATGATAAGTAGATCTGTCCTCGAAGGGCTGGCTATGGCAAGGATGTCACCTCGGTCACCCGCACAGGGTAAGGGGTGTTCTGTCTTTTTAGGAACTTACACGAATTAAGAATGATGTTTTGTGCTTTATAAGGCATTCTTCAGTAACGTAACAACTACAGACATGGATGTGCCCATCTTACTCACCTCGGGATTTGCGTGTAGCTGCCGAGCTGCGCTCAATTCACTGCAGTCAGTCGGTTGTATACTGAGACTGATTCGGTTGTTCGGCATCATTCACTAGGGGGCAACAGATGCACAACATAGGCGTAAGACTTGTGCTTTCTGAGTCTGAGTTGCAAACAACGACATCAGATAAGAAGAACAAAAGAGACGTTTTTAAGAATGACAGCGGAGGAGAAGAACAGAAGCAAATCATATGGCAGAGAATGACGACAGAGAAGAAGAACAATGGGCGTCTGTAATCAATAATAATCAACGGGAACAATAAAAACACACATGCTTACTGCTGCTCACGCAAAATGCAAGAACTGATACGGGGCTCCCTTTTGCAGAGATTTCTTGACGGGTACCAAAA